GGCCAGTATTTTTCTTTCTATGATGAAAGAAACTGGACTTTGTTAGTCTTATACAAATTTTAATCACCAAATAAACTGAGGAAGAAAGAGACTGGCCCTTCACATTCAATGTACCGAATTCCATCTTCATGCTTTGAGAAGAATGCAATTGCGTCATAGAAAACAACTATTTCAAGATTACAGTGCAAGTCACTGAGGTAGAAAATGAGCTTATGATTAGCAGGAGGGAACAGTGTGGGGAGGGATAAATTAGGAGACGGCTTGACATACACACAGTACGATACATAAACTAGACAATAAGAACCTACCGTGGGGCACAGGGACCTCTACTCAATACTCTGTAGTGACCTATATGGGAAAATAATCTAAAAAAAAGAATGGACATATGTATAACTGATTCACTCTGCTGTATACCTGAAACCAACACAACACTGTAAATCAGATACACTCCAATAAAAATTTTTAAAAGGGTTTAATAAAACTCCTATTTTGTAAGAAAGGTACTCCTAGTCTATACCTGTAAATGACTAATAACAAATTCCTGAATCATATCATAGATAGACAAATTACTTAATTTCTGATACTACACAAACCAGCAAGTTAAACTGGGAAACTGGCCTCTCAAAAATAAAGCTGGTACTACTTTACTAGTTATTTAAGAATGCCTGGGAAGCATTTTTTATGGTAAAGAGAAAGCAGTAAAACATTTAATATAAGAATGATCTATAATCTAATCCTGTAGCAGAAAATAAATAAGATATGCAAGTAATAATGAGAAAATATATCTGCCAAGATCAATAGTATACACTGGGCTAAGACAGGTTAATGGTTTATTTATAAAAATAAATATAAACAAACACTAAATCCTGATACTTACTATCTTTACTGAGGAGGAAAAAAATAGCTGCAAATACTGCTAATTTTATCCACATGTCTCAGAAAAGAATTTCTACCACATTTTCCTAAGCCTTTATATCAACCAAGTCTAACAGGGATCGAAACTGCAAACATGAAGCTCACTACAAAAAAGTGGGTTGAAAATTAAAACTGAAGATAATTTTAAATTTGCATAAACTGAAATCTTATCAAATCAAAGCTGTATCTAGAAAACCCAGGAACTCACCACTTTGCTTAAATATCTGAGGGCCTATTAAATAGCAGAAGAGAAACAAATGGCATTCTACAAATATTCTGTCAAGATTCAAAACCTTGATACTTAAAAATGTTTTACAGCAATTCAAATAATCTAATGATAGTCCAACTTGTGAATATATATAGTAAAATATAAAATGTGAACTGTCAAAATTATACTCAAATGAGTACACAGCAAACATTTACAAAGATGACATTCACAGAAGCACACTTATGAGAGAAAGATCTGCATGTATTGCAACAAAAACACTTCATGTGTGTATCAACTATAACACTGATATAAGTTTTAAAACCAGTGCTCCTCAGATAGTCTTGACTGTTCTGAAAGTGACAACTTAGAAAAAATCTGGTTAATTCTGAAAACAACTATGACAACTGCATTCTCAGACTGACGAAATCCATTTCAACCCTGCAACCGGCCTCCAGAGTTCTAAGAGCCACCCTCCACCACAGACATCTCAGACATGCTGAACTTCTGACTCCCCTGGTGCATCAAGCTCTCTTCTGTCTCCATGCCTCGGCAGATGGAGCCAACGCCATGGCTTCCCCACAAGTCTGGGTTAGCTAGTTCTCGGCCAGGTTTCCTGTGTGCCCTGCTGACAATCGGAGGACTCATCAAGCTGTAGTGGAGTCTTCTCTCCCCACTTCCCCCTGGACTCTATGGCTGTTTCTCTATCCCTGGAGCCTAACACAGTTTCCAGCCTATTGCAGATGCAGAAAAGACAGAACCAAGGAAACCACTGTGGCTGCCAGGAATCATTTAATTCAACAAATATTTGAGCACTGAAGTGAGTTAAACTAGATACACAGTTAAACTGGATATGAAAACTACAGTTCTCACCCACAAGTAAACAAATAAAACACGTTACCATGCATTACACAAAATAATCTAAGACTGGACCTGGAAATCATACTTCATTTAAACTTCTCTACCCTTCTCTGACTTGACTACAGTGCATGCTTCTGTGACATGAAGTAGCTCATACATGACTGGTTAAAAAAAAATGGTGAATAACATCAGTAAAACAAAGTGGTCAAATTGGTTCACATGGGATTTTATCCAAGCATAGTAAAGTTCTGTGCCACAAGTAACTGCAGATGAACACAAAATATGCTAACAGCTAACATTAGCTGTTATTTTTAGTGCATGATTTTGCAGAACATGAGGTTTTTCAGGAATACACTATTTTTCTACAATAGAAATGACTGTACATTCATCTTTGAATAGCCACAATAAATCTGTTAATAAAACAAACATATTTATTACACAAGCTACTTAAATTATTAAATAAGTTACTACTACGTGTAAAGGTCAGCAACAAAGAAGAAAAGGGAACTAAGTTACTGATGACTATTTTATTAAGCACTGTGTTAAAGGCTATGAATACTTTGTAATTTAAATTCAATAACTGAGAAGGTGGACAGGTAAAAATAATTCACATTGCATTTAAATGGAATGTGATCTAATTTACAGCTAGTGTGAAAAGGGCAAACATTATTTTTAGAAAAGCCCTCCCTAGCTTAAGAAACCATTTATGAGCTTTCACAGTCTAACCAATATCCTCACAACTATAAAAGCATAAATTCTTAACAAAATTTTAACAAATCAAGCTATATATAAAAACAATAATATAACATGACCAAGTTGAGCTTATCCCAGGAATTAAAGGTTGGTTTAACACTAAAAATACAATCAATGGAATTTATCATACTAACAAATAAAAAAAGAAAAACCATAGCATCATGTCAGTAGATAAATAAAAAGCCCTGACAAAATCCTAAATCCATTCACGGTAAGAGCTCTCAACAAACTAGAAATAGAAGCAACAAGAATTTTTAAAGTAGTTATTACAGCTTAAAGGAAACTATGTCCATAATAAATGCAAGACTGGAATCTCAGAAGAGAAATAAAAACAATAAAAAATAATTTAATTGAAGCTCTAGAACTAAGTAGTGCTTACAGTCATTATAATAATTTTTAAAAACCTGAAACAGAGGAAGTATCAATGAAACAAAATAAAAATATGGACTAGTGAAACGGATCATCTCTTCCTTTTGTGTGTGGTTTTCAATTTCCCTGTATTTAAAATGTGAAAGCAACTTTGATTCATTTGTTTAACAAAAAACTGACAGTCTACTTAATAGTTCAAACACTGATGACATGAAGTCAGAAGAAAAATAAAAACAGTCTCCATCCTTAAGGAATAATCTAGAGGGAAGAGTTTACAGTTTCTACGAATCCCTTCTAATGATGTAGCTGTGTAACTATTTATTTAATGAGATTAATTCTACCCCAACAAGGCCCCATAAGGGACCTTGTATATACTTCGCACAGTACAGAAAACACATTCCTCAAAATTTCAACAATCCTATTATCATTACAGTACAGATTTTCTTGTATGAATTTTACTTGACTAAACTCACACAATTTCTAAAAATTCTACATGTCAGAACTTAAAAATTTTTAGTAAAATATAAAATTTGACAACTGAAGTTTCTATGCTCATTTGATTGTTTCTTAGGGTAACTTAGGGTTGATCTTTAGGGTAATTCTTTTTTCTGAATCACTTAATATTTTGACATGCTTATGAAAAAATTCAAAGCATCAAAAACACTGGAGAAGGATGAAATTGATGAATGCTCAGTAAACTTAGATGCTATCTTTCTTTAGATCAGAAATATGGAAATCACAAGTTCAAGAGTCAGATACTCTACAAACGATTTCACAAAATGTTCTGTCATTTTAAAATATATGAAGAACTTATCAGGGGATTAAAAAATAGGTAGTGAATTCATACAAATGTGAGATAACATGGGAACAACTGTAGCATAACAGTTCAGAGCATGGGTTCTGGGATTAGAAAAAAGTGGGCTTAAGTCTAGGGTTTAAAGACTAGTCAGTTAACTGTTTCATCTACAGAACATCTGTAAACTATCAGAAGGTTATTGTGTAGATTAAATAAGAAAATTACTGTTAGTCATATAAATTGATACAACACTTTAGAAAGGCATGTTGCCAACATTCCTGAAATGTATTCTTATGAACTGTTGTATGAGGGAAAAATTTAAGATTCCAAAAGCTTGGGAGACTGGTTTATTTCAGGGCTTCTCAGTCTTTCATATGTGAATGTATACTGTGTTTCTGAAAGGGTAATATAATATTTAGCAGTTCTAAAACTTACTTGACCGTGGTATACCATTTTCACTGAGTATCTCAAGGGACTAGTGTGATCCACTGAAATCAAATTTTGGTAACTATAAACTGGACCCCATGAAGAACTGTAAAACTGTTCACACACTTTTGGTCTAGCAGATCAATTCTGCAACATTTTCATAAATGTGAAAAAATGAAGTAAAAAAGAAGACACTATGTATTTTGTTACTTATAATAGCAAAAATCAGATGAAACCTCAGTGTCTAATGGCAGAGGTAAACATGACACATCAACATCAAAGATTGTGTCTTATCATAAGCGCTAGAATGGAGACTGTAGTCCCACGGAAATGTTTGTTGAAACAAAAAGACAGAATCCAATTTTCTGAGTATTAGAATTATAACAATACAAAAATATATGTATCTGGACAAAGACTTGCAAGAACAGTGGAAAATCAAGTTAATGTTCCAGATAGTGTGACTGGGGGGGGGGGGGGGGGGGGGAATTCTTTTTTTTAGATTCTTTTTTTTTTTTTTAATTTAGTTTCTTTAGCTTTTAAAGGTTTGTGTACACAATACATTAAAAATGGTATCTGTAAAGAAAGATACAATGGTAAGACTCTTGACTAAAAACTACTTTAATATGGCTCTTTTCCTATTAAGTTTCCTGGCAATCAAAGCAATTTTAATTACAGGACCATACAAAGATTGTCAACACGCAAAAGATGCTGGACATTCAGTCAGTGGGATTTATATGATCAAACCTGAAAACAGCAAAGGACCAATGCAACTATGGTGTGAGAACAGTTTGGATCCTGGAGGTTGGACTGTTATTCAGAAAAGAACAGATGGCTCTGTCAACTTCTTCAGAAACTGGGAAAATTATAAGGTAAATCAGTGATTCAGCCTTGGGGGAGAGGTAGAACAAAGCAGCTCTTGCAAAAATAGTCATTCTATGCAATAAATAAGATACACAGCTAAAAAATCACTCTTTGTATGTTTTTCATTATCTGCATTTGTCCAAAAGACAATCCTCATCTTTGGTTTCAAGTCAAAACTAAAATGTAAAAAGGAAACTAAAGATGTACTTTAAAATGTTTCCTTTCAGTCTGGATGATTTAAACATATATTTAATTCTTTGCAAAGACTGATCCTAATTTCATTTTCTAGGAAGACAACTGCTTTTTTGTTCATGACCACATCTGCACCCATTATCAAGTGTATTTAATCGGAGGTAAACAATCTTAGAAAAAAGGTCATGTTTTGGAAGTCCTATACTCTGTATTATTGCTTATAATAATAATGAGACATTAATATATCCATGTGAGAAGTTGTATACATTTCTAAACAAGTAACAAGTGAAAGAACACAACCTCTTTGAAAATACATCTAGCATTAAGATCAGGTTTATCAAACTTATATTCTGCTGCATACTTGTGACGGCAAATATTTATGGAAATAGGATAGTTAATTTGTTACTTTCTTCAAACATTAACCTACAATTTTTCAAAGGGACTCTGAAGATTACTATTTTATCATCTTACGTTTACTAATTTTATTTTTAATAGAGCTAAAGAAGATAATTTGTTCTAAGACAGATACTATCATTTTTACTGAGTATCATAAAAAATGTTAGATGTATTATTTATTTGACTACGGTGGAGACAATACCTATATACTTTTAGAACAAAAATTTGTTTCTCTGTATGAGTATGAAAGAAATCAGGAACCCTTTTCGAGGGTCTGGGTAGTGTACTAGTTAATGTTTTTAGTTTCTATGAATAATTTCAATTCTGCTTTTATCTTATTTGTAGACTTTGGAGTTAGTTGTGCAAATAAATGCTGACAAATTGAGAGAAAGCAAAACAAAACAAAGTGATTACGTGGGACTTCAGTAGAACAGGTGATCTACAAAAATGGAAGATTACATTACCACTTAAATGGTCAATATCTTTATCACTTAAATGGTCAATATCTTTAAGCTATCAGGTGTTTAAAACATCTATAAAATGCTTACTATCTCTACACTTATTCATGTATGCATGTTCTTTGTTTAATAACAGAAAGGATTTGGAAACATTGATGGAGAATATTGGCTTGGACTGGAAAATATCTATTTGCTTAGCAATCAAGATAATTATAAGTTATTGATTGAATTAGAAGACTGGAGTGAGAAAAAAGTCTATGCAGAATATAGCAGTTTCCGCCTGGAACCAGAAAGTGAATTCTATAGATTGCGTCTGGGGACTTACCAGGGGAATGCTGGGGATTCCATGATGTGGCATAATGGTAAACAGTTCACCACTCTGGACAGAGATAAAGATATGTATGCAGGTGAGTAAGAAAAAACTGATGCGTGTTCTTTGCAGGGTCACCACTTTCTATGCACTAAATAGAACCCTGTTATAAAGTATATGCCACTGAAGTCTTTTCAGAAAAGTTGTTTTGGACTCAGTCAAAGGGAATACAACCTGCTGAAAGGGACAGCTTCTTAGGAGTTCTTCTCTAAGGCAATCCCAAAGTGTGAACTCTGTGAACAAAGTCCTGCTGTTCTAACCTGAAGGGATGGGATGGGAAACAAAACATAGTCATCTGGAAATAAACTTGCAACTGCCTAAAACTTCTAACAAACCCCACTGGACACCTACCACGTGGTAGGCACTGTTGTAGGCTCTGACGAACACGGCAGTGAACAAAGTTCCTGCCCAATTGGAACTTAATTTCTGGAAGGAAACAAGATGATTTCTCAGGTGGTGACAAGTGCTTTAGGAAAAGTAAAACTGAATAAGGGAACAGGGATGGGTGCCATTTTATGTGGGTTGGACAAAAAAGGTAACATTTGAACACAGTCCTGAAGGGAGCGAAGGAAGGGAGTCACTTGGGTACATGGGTAAAGGCACTTTTTGGTAAACACGACTGCGGCAGGGGGTCCAGGAGGAGCAGAAAAGCTTTATTCAGAGGAGAAATATTCTCTTTAGAAAGACTCAATTAGGTCATCCACATAATGTAATTTTAAATTTAATTTTCACACACTTTTTGCCTTTTTAGCCTAGGTTTCTGGCTCTGATAAAGAGCTATCTCCTGAAAATTGATTTATTTTTACATTGAGCTGTGTCATGGCAAGCAGCACACAGGTCTCTATTTCACTTTGGCAAAAGAGGAAAAAGGAAGACAGATTTGACCATAATAAATGCCTTATTTACAGAAACTCATTTGATTGTTAATAGGAGGCCTGGCATGCTGCAGTTCATGGGGTTGCAAAGAGTCAGACACAGCTGAGAGACTAAACTGAACTGAGTACTATTTTATATATAGATTTTTTTGCTATTTTGAAAATCAATTTTACCTAACTTTACTGTCTTTAGCAACGCCATATCTTTTCCCCTTCCAGTCTCTCCAACCTCTCTCTCTTACATACAAATACTACTTTCATTTTATTTACCCTGCCTCCCAGAAAAGAAAATCACTCACAACAACAAAAAAAGCATGTGCTAATAATAAGCAAAGAGCAAAATAAAAAAGGCAATTCAAGTGATCTTTCAAGCAGTTCATACTCAAGCAACAGTAACAGAATAAATGAAAAAACAACACTGTGAAGATAAAGGTTAACTGAAATCAGTAGGAAAAACTCAAACTGTTCTCAAAGTAGAATAAGTTTTTGATGGTTTAGAGTACCACACTTAGAAGAAACTTTTACTCTGATGTCTGTATTTTTCCCTCAAAGGAAACTGCGCCCACTTCCATAAAGGAGGATGGTGGTACAATGCCTGTGCACACTCTAATCTCAATGGAGTCTGGTACAGAGGAGGCCATTACAGAAGCAAGTACCAAGATGGGATATTTTGGGCCGAATACCGAGGTGGCTCATACTCCTTGAGAGCAGTTCAGATGCTGATCAAGCCTATTGACTGAAGAGACGCAGTCTCCAATTTAAATGACACAGAACTCTATTTTTCAGTTCCTAAAAATGTAAATGTTACATGTATATTATTTTGCACAATTCATTTCTACAGATATAGTTTTTAAAGTGAATTTTTACTGTAACTATAAAAGGGGATTTATGAATATAGATTCATCTTCCCTTAATATACTGTAGAAGATTATCTGTATCTATAATCCAAGTTATTTTAAAAATATTATTGACTGAATACAAGCGAAGTTTGTTTTCTAAAATGTAAATTATTTGTCACAACATAAAACAAATTTTAGCTTTATTTTAAATCAAAATTCAATACATGTCAAGATCCTTAACAATTTATTTAAAGCCTTTATGAGAATGCTGTAACTTCCAATGGAAAAATAATTTTAAGATTTCAGCAACATCATACATTTTATTTATAAAAAATATAGACAGGAAATTAGAAAAAACTCTAGTTTTGCCAACAATTTGCATTGAATAAAAGTTATTTCAAATTGAGTTTATGCCTTCACATGAAATGATTAAATCTGAATTCTTGACAATATATTTTATGCCAATTTCAAAAAGAATGAAGAAATCCACAAGATACATATTTTTAAAAACAAAAATAATGTATACAGTATTTAAATGGCCAATTTATAGAAACAGAAATATATAAATGAATTTTTCAATGTTACCTTCATACGAATACCAAAATTTCCTAAAATCTACTTTATATTTTGATATCAGTAAAACATTGCTATTACAAATGTGCAGAATATTTGGTGAGTCAATGGTTTTACAAAACTGAATTACAACTCTAAGCTTATTTATTAATATTTTTCCCTCCCTAATTTACTGATCTTAACTATTTAGAAAAAGTTCATCTGATAGTCAAATCAGAAAGTTTGGACAGCTTTACAAGCATTACTACATACTTATGGGTGGGACTAAAACAACTTCGATGAGCTGTTAGATATTTTTCCAATACTGAGATTCAACAGTTTCAGAATGGAATCCACAGGGGTTTCACTAGTCCAATGGCTAATTCCAGTGTGTGTGTCTTTAGCTCATTTTTGCAATTAACAACTTTACTACCAATCTTCTAGAACAATTATCTTCTAAAAATATGTTCTGCTTAGAGCAGATCTTCCCTTAACTCATTTGTGAACTAAAAATTTTAGAGGAATCTCTTGGGACTTTTGCTCAACCAGTCAGAACTGAAGATAATTATTGTACAACTTTAGTCCATCAACATCAAGTCCAAAGTTTCTGCTCTGCCACATCTCAAAGCTTCTGGTGAAAGAAGGTAAGAGAACATCAAACCTCTGCTTTATCTATGGTCATTTTGGAATAGTTTTCAAGTCCCTCTCCACCACCCCTAGAACCAGAAAAATCCACTATAAAATTTCTGGGAGAAATTAGGCATCTAATTGTTTTTATCAAATCTTTTTTTTTTCATTTATTTTTATTAGTTGGAGGCTAATTACTTTACAACATTGTAGTGGTTTTTGCCATACATTGACATGAATCAGCCATGGATTTACATGTGTTCCCCATCCTGAACCCCCTGGCCCCACCTCCCTCCCCATCCCATCCATCCCTCTGGGTCATCCCAGTGCACCAGCCCCGAGCATTTGTCTCATGCATCCAACCTGGACTGGCAATCTATTTCACACTTGATGTTTTATCAAATCTTAACTGAATAAAACTTTACTAGGACATTCCATTTATTTGCAGAACTACAGCATTTCACACACACATCCAAAACCCGATTAAAGACAAGTCTCAGAGAATTTTCACAAAAGAGGAATATTATTAACACCAGAATCATGTGAAAGTCAACATACAAACTGGAAAACTGCTGAATGCTAATAGCACCTTGCCCATAGAGTCCACTGTGCCCTCCTTTATAGAGAGGTGACACAGCTCTGCTCTAAAGTTCCTGGAAAGCTTAAGAATAACTTAGGCAACTGAGTTCCTTGAGATCAGGGAGTAAGAAGCAATATTATATGATGGCTAAACATAGGTCCTAAAGGCAGAACCGCTTGGATTTGTGGCCCAAATCTACTATGTGCATGTTTTAGACTTAGATATTCCTGGGGCTAATTTATATATTCCTGCCTCAGTTTTCATAGCTATAAAATGGAGATAACAACAGTACCTAGCTCATGCGGTTACTGTGAAAATCAAATGAGGTAACACAGGTGGTAAAACATTTAGAATAATGCTTGATACTAGTAAGGACTCAGTAGACTTCAACTACCAGATTATTCTTGCTCATCTATATACTTTCTGCATTATCTATCATGTGGTGCCTTGAACAGAGTGAGTAACAAATGTGCTAAAAGAAACACTATCCAAATTTTCCAGCACAAAATTACACTGATCCATGATCTTCATGTACAAACCTAATAGAGCTGTGTCACCTGTTAATGGCAGGTAGTAAAGAGCATGGGCCATAAGAAAAATTAAGAACAGCCATAGTAAAAAAAAGAAAAAAAAAAAGGACTCCCCTGGTGGTCCAGTGGTTAGGACTATGCTTCCAACGCAGGAGGCTAGGGTTCAGTCCCTGGTTGGGAAATTATGATCCCACACGCTGTGCGGCACAGCCAAAAAAATAAAAAATAAAGGAATAGCTAACACTAAGAGATTTCAGCCTAACGTGAATCCTGTGAGAGATTAGAGGTAAGTCACATGTATGGTAGGCAAAGTCTGATAGCTAGCTACTTTACAGGTTACTGGGGAATAAGATGTGGTTGCCTTACCTTCAGTAAGATTGAGCTAAAAACTTGGAACTGGTTTACAGAAGGATTACTTATGTTTAGTTATTTTTAATAAACGAAATGAAGCTTATCCTAAAAATGACTTAGACTCTGTCCTCCACTCAATGGGACATCGTCAATGTCAAGGAAACTTGGCATCTCTAAAAGTAAGTAGATATGAACTAATAAACTCATCCTCAGGCTCCAAGCCTGCGTGAGTGTAAAGATCAGATTTTCAGTTTAATGTTCACTTGACTCTATGAGTTAAGGAGTGCTAATTCTTTTGGCATTATATTTGTTAGAACAATCATATAATAAGACTGTAAAAGCTTCTACAACTATGAAAATGCTTCAAATTACCTGTTAATCTGTACTAATGCGATATGATTTTTATATACTTGAATTAATCAATAGTAAGTTAAAGATGATTATAGCCTAACAATTTTTTTAGTCTTTTATTTTAGTGTCTGAGAAAATAAGTAAGAAAAGAATGGTTCTACTTATGATGTCATGACCCCTCCTTAAAGAAGCCACCTAAAAATAAGCTCGGTTTTCAATTTTATCAGTGGGGTCAACAGTTATTACATTGTAATTCTATAGATAATTATAGGAAAGACTGAAAAATGAACTTAAAATTAAAACTAAAGACAGATTTCCAAAGTATCAATATAATTCCATAATGCTTTCTTGGAGCTGTAAACGAAATGGTTATAATGCATATCTAAGAGCAAGTCAATTTAACCTCCCTTGTCCAGGTTTCTTCACTTACATGAATAATAGTATCACTTATAAACTGTTGTAACAAATTAGAAAATTTATATAAAGCATACAATGTTGGGCATATGGGATTAAGTTGCAAATAAATGTTAGTTAAGATTTTTATTATTATCCTCCTGTTAAGGTTTGCTAAAAAATTTACAAAACACACTACTGAAATATCAAGTTGGAAACACTGCTGGCAAAGCTGTTGGAACTAGGGGAATCTGATTCTGTTTATGATTAAAATGCAGATCTATATAACTTCTACACATAATATACATATATTTTAAAGATATAGGCTCTTCAAAAAAAATAATAAACCCAAGAAACTATGAAAATGGGAAAGCAATCAATATAACCCCATCCCCAACCCTTCTACATCACAAGTCATTGAATAGTCTTAAACTTCAGAAAATACACTATGAAAGAAAGTTAGAAGAATTTTAAATATATAAAAAAGAATGAGAGTAAAAAAGGATATAAATGAGGTAATGGAAAATGGGAATGTAATTTTGGCTAAAGAAAAAGCTACGGCTAGCTGCCATTTGGTCAGAGCTCATTTCAGACCTCATTCTTGGGATTCAGAAGAAAATGACTGAACATGCTTTATTGCTGTTTTAGAATTCACTATGTAATCCTAATGAGAAGAATAAGGTAAAGTAATCCATGGTGTGTATTACCTACAAATCAAAGAAAGGAAAATGGAATAAAACTCTTAAAATATTAAAAGCCAATGACATTTTTTGACCATTAGCATTTTTGAGATCAGTGCCAGAGACTTTTATACATTTAACCAAGTAAAATTCTACCAATTCTCACTCATTCCCATAGAGTGGCAGAAAACTTTGGACTCTGTCAAAATATCTTCATAGAAATGTGAATAAAAAGCTACTGTTTTTAAAAATATTTGTACATAGATTAGCAAAAATTTCTAAAACTAATATAAAATTAAAGAACTATATTCTTCTAAGGGATCAAGATAGGTTGAAAACTCCTGAAACATTAAAGAGGACCAGATAAAATCTGAAGGTCCTTCCAAGTTTAGGCATGCTTCAAACATTGCTGTAATGAGGGCACTGCAATCAAGGCCTGGTAATGTTATGTGCCTCTTTCACAGCTTAGGAGATAGGAGAGGTTATTCACAAGGTAATGACAACACAGTCTTTGGTATTAAAGAGATGTTAAGTTCCACAAAGGAAGGGTCAAAGTCCACTTTGATCACTGCTCTACATCTATCACTAGGAACAGTAGTAAGCAAAAGCTGGATGGCCAGCGGATGCACCAAAAGAACACTGGGAGTAGGTAGGGAATTGTAGAAAAAAAATGACAGACAAAATTGCTGGAACAATGGGAAGAGCCAGAAAGGGATAATATAATTAATGAAGTTAACCAGTTAAGTATTAAATACTAAGGGCCCACTTTTATTCCAGATGATAAACATAGAGCCCTGGACCAAGGTAAACTAAGGGCTTACACACTGCTGAGGGAGAGAGATTAATGAAAACAAAATAGTGCTTGTCAGAGGATAGGGGATGGAAAGGGTACAATTTATATTCTTTATTACAGATGGATATAAGGAAAGCTTTTCTATTCTCACAGAAAGAGAAGAAAAAAAAAGCCCACCAGGCTCCTCTATCCATGGACTTCTCCAAGCAAGAATACTAGAGCAGGTTGACATTCCCTTCTCCAGGGAATCTTCCCACCCCAGGGACCAAACCCTGGTCTCCTGCACTGCAGGCAGATTCTTTACCATCTTGAGACACCAGAGAAGCCCAACATAAAGAGAGCTTTCCTCTTCTCAAAAAAGGGAAAAACGGGGCCGGCGGCTATCTTGAAAATCTAACATACAAAATTGCAAATTAAGTTGGGGGTGTCTCTATAGGAGACAGAGTGAGGCCATCTTACTTCTCTGTAAAATTTTGCTTTTACTTAATAGGAAGCAGTGTACAGAACTGCAACAACTTACTTATTTTCAGAGTTTTAAAAACATATGCTTTCCTTCCCAGAAAACATCCTAAGCTGGTTGAGCTACTGCATCCTCCCAAAATTACATAAATAAAGTAGAAATGAGGCTAGAAAATGCACATGAAAGAATATTTATCATGTTTCATACAACAAAATTATTTTTGCACAATGCTCTTTTCCCCTCTCTCCAGCAAAGCAAAACTTCCCATGCCAAATTCTTCAATAAGCCCCTTAAGATTGTTCTCCAATGACAAGAACAAATGAGTGCTGTTAATGATTTTCAGATTTAAAGCAATAATTCTCATATAAAACAATTTTTTCCTTGAGATTTGCCAAACTATTTCTCTCCAGAAAAACTGTATCCTTAGCCTAAGAACTTTTCACTATATTGTCCAGGCTGACTAATTTTTACCTTGAATGCAAACCAACAGAAGAGACAACTTTTCAACAGATGATGAGTTGAAAGCCAAGAAAACATTTTCTACTTTTTATAATTTAATCCACATTGAATTATAAATAAATCTGGCAGTATCAAAGTAAGAGTTTTGTCAGTATATAAGCCTCCATTTTCTGTTTTAAATTTCATAGAGAATGATGGTTGGTTCCGTTCATAATTCATAACACTAAAAACATCGTTAGTTTGGATAATGCCTCTTATGTTAAGAATAGGTGATGAACCTTTACCTTTTCTCTGTATAGTACAGATTCTTTTGGTTGACACATCTGTTCCAAAAGAACCTTCGCAGATGTTAAAGGATAAGGGGTGGTTGTTTAGTCACTGAGTTGTCTGACTCTTTGTGACCCCATGGACTGTAGCCAGCCAGACTCCTCTATCCATGGGATTTCCCAGGCAGGAATACTGGCATACACTGCCATTTCCTTCTCCAAGGGATCTTCCCGACCCAGGGACCCAACCCTGGTCGTCCGCTTGGCAGGCGGCTTCTTTACCATGGAGCCATCTGAATAAAGGATAGCATTACGCAAACTCTGTACCCTTGAGGAGGGACAGTTAACTAGAAGCTCCTAATATGCACAATGAGGATTATCTCTCAAACGTCTTCAGGACAAGTTATGTCCTATCAAATGTACAGCATCTTGTAAATGTTGTCATTTTTGGCATCTATCTGCACTAGGCCTAGTTTAATACAAGTGAGGAAAACATTCTGAAGAAAAGTTAAATTTAAAAACCACGATCCTATTTTCAGTTCAGTTCAATCGCTCAGTCATGTCTGGCTCTTTGCGACCCGACCCTATGAACTGCAGCACACCAGGCCTCCCTGTCCATCACCAACTCCCAGAGTCCACCTAAGCCCATGTCCATATGAAAAATGTAAATATTAACAGGATATAAACTATTGTAAAATCTTCATTCTTTAACATACTTTAGTATTGAAGATTAGGAATGAGAAAATGAACCAGCTGATTATGATACAAATAAAGCAAGCAGTCAGAAAGTTTTATAAAGCTGAAATGCTTCACATTTTCTTAGGAAAACCATGTTTGTTTTGATAGATGGGATGAATACATTTAATCTCAAAGTATGCTATAAAATGAAACTGTCACTACATTAAAAAGGTGATTTTCATGCTGGAAACGAGCTTAACTGTATCACAAGAACTTGTCTGACAAATATTTCACTGTTTCATTTTCCTGTCCCAAGTCTACCAAATGTTTGTGCCAAATGTTCCACAATCATCTCACAATCTCAGATGCTTCTTCACAGACTGGTATAGGGATGAATAATTATATGGAGAATCCAATGTATAAAATTATGTAATGCTGAGTGTATGTTTCATGTACAGAATACATAATATTCCTGGCAAGAACACACAGAATATTTCTGTACAGAATACAGAATATTCCTGGCAAGAATATACAGAAGAACTACACAAAAAAGATCTTCATGACCCAGACAACCATGATGGTGTGATCACTCACCTAGAGCCAGACATTCTGAAATGCAAAGTCAAGTAGGCCTTAGGAAGGATCAGTATGAACAAAGCTAGTGGAGGTGATGGAATTCCAGTTGAGCTATTTCAAATCCTAAAAGATGATGTTGTGAAAGTGCTGCACTCAACATGCCAGCAAATTTGGAAAACTCAGCAGTGGCCACGGGACTGGAAAAAGTCAGTTTTCATTCCAATCCCAAAGAAAGGCAACGCCAAAGAATGTTCAAACTACTACACAATTGCACTCATCTCATACACTAGCAAAGTAATGCTCAAAATTCTCCAAGCCAGGCTTCAGTAGTCTGTGAACTGTGAACTTCCAGATGTTCAAGCTGGTTTTAGAAAAGGCAGAGGAACCAGAGATCAAATTGCCAACATCCGTTGGATCATCAAAAAAAGCAAGAGAGTTCCAGAAAAACATCTACTTCTCTTTTATTGATTACACCAAAGCCTTTGACTGTGTGGATCACAACAAACTGTGGGAAATTCTTCAAGAGACGGGAATACCAGACCACCTGACCTGCCTCCCGAGAAATCTGTATGCAGGTCAAGAAGCAACAGTTAGAACTGGACATGGAACAACGGACTGGTTCCAAATCAGGAAAGGAGTATGTCAAGGCTGTATATTGTCACCCTGCTTATTTAACTTATATGCAGAGTATATCATGAGAAACGTGGGACTGGATGAAGCACAAGCTGGAATCAAGATTGCCGGGAGAAACATCAATAACCTCAGACATGCAGATGACACCACCCTTATGGCAGAAAGAAAAGAAGAACTTAAGAGCCTCTTGATGAAACTGAAAGAGGAAAGTGAAAAAGTTGGTTTAAAACTCAACATTCAGAAAACTCAGAAAAGATTCGAAAAATTCAGAAAAGATCATGGCATCTGGTCCCGTCACTTCGTGACAAATAGATGGGGAGACAATGGAAACAGTGACAGGCTTTATTTTTGGGGGGCTCCAAAATCACTACAGATGGGGATTGCAGCCATGAAATTAAAAGACGCTTGCTCCTTAGAAGAAAAGCTATGACCAACCTAAACAGCATATTAAAAAGCAGAGACATTGCTTTGCTGACGAAGGTCCATCTAGTCAAAGCTATGGTTTTTCCAGGAGTCATGTATGGATGTGAGAGTTGGACTATAAAGAAAGCTGAGCACCGAAGAACAACGCACAGGAGTATTCTGCCTTGAACATAGGACGTACAACATTTCCTATTCCCACTGGAATTTGAGAATGTCCCACAATGATATGATGAGTTAAGATCTCTGACAAACTAAGGTGATGCTCTAGATCAGCTGAATGACAGTGTATCAGCTGTCTTTGCCCCTACTTTGTGTTCTGGTCACTGGTACTATAAAGACTTCAAAGATGACACTGTAGAGTCTCCTAAACAAGTAACAGGTTTCTCCATTATTTTCAGAAACAGTTATGGTGAAATCCAGTATGAGTAGTTACATAAAAGAAAGTGGAAATAGGGGGTAAAAGGGGATACTGGGAAAAAGCAAATGTTATCTTTTGATTACTTTCTACATAGGATCAGGTCAATTTATTTTAATGCACATACTAGGTATACATAATATAATGCATATACTAGGTATACATAATATATTTTCTGTATTTAAATTCACATACACATTAAAAAGGTATAGTTTCAGTCATTTTTTATTCAAACACCTAATAAAAATCACTATTCATATTTTGGTGATTATCTTATGTTATTGGTTCAATACTTCTTGGAATTCATCAACACTGTAAAATATACAATAAACAGATACACACTACATGTAATAATATGTAAAATACAGATTTGTCTCAGCACTGAGCTAAATTTCCACAGCTAAACAGCTAATTTCTTCCAGAAAAACAATAACACCTTCATTGAGACTGTTTTTCATAATTCACTGTTAAAATACCTGCCAACAATATAAACCAAGAACTCATGATGCTGACAATAAATTCATTATATCTTCTGATCAATTTCTTAAGTTGATGTTAAATATTTTCACAGCATTAAACTTCACTGCAAACTACTAGTTCATTCTTTTAAAGCATTACTAAAATAGCAAAAATGTATGGCTTTACCATATGGTTCATGTCTAAGAAAAAATGAAAATACATTCCAGGTAGTAAGGTAACACATTCCTCTAGACAATTTTTTCAACTAAGAATCCTTTAATTTCTTTAAAGGACACACAAACTTTTAAAATATATTGAATTTTATATAAACTATTGATTAAAGCAAGCAACAACTAGGCATAATGAATATACAGTGACATAACTCACCTAAATAGGGAATGCAGGGTGTCATCTTTAAGCTACTTATATAGTCTCTGAGTCTTTTGTAATTATCTTCTTTACTCATTACATATTCTAGTTTTTCAAAGGTGGTTTTGTCTTTTCGACTTAATAACTAAAAGACAAATAGAAAAGCCCAAGTTATTTCTATATCTAATTTTATTATAGTAAAGACTTAAGAGTTACAATTACTATAAATCTGAATTTTAATTTCAAAGTTTTATTCTTTAATTATATTTTGGTAGTATATAAATAAAACCAGACATGTTTATTAATATAATAAACCCAAATTCATTATTCATAAAATACAATATACTTTGTATGTACCTAAAATAATTAACTTACTAAGTAGTAAATTATAATACATTATTTATCATCTTTACTATTTTAAATGGTTAAACAATTTTTATTAGTCATTTTCCTAATTTAAAATAATTATATATTCATATTCACCTCAAAGGCCCAAATATTTTCATGACTTGTCCCCTGTCCCCTCAAAGATAGATAATTCTTACATAAGCATTAAGAAATAAATACTGAATTTCATAATTTAAGTAATAATTTTTCTTGATGACTCTAACCATAACTACCAGCACTATAAAACTACAATTTACATGTTTGGATTTCTGACATTTTTTCCTTGATCCCTTTGATCAGTGCTGTATTACAACAGTTGAACAATCAACTGCAGCTGTTTTAGGAGGCTTGAGAAGTAGATTTATAGTGTGTGCCCTTTGAGAAAAATGGAGATATCAAGGGGAATAAAAGAAAAGCAAGGGCAGTCATCTGAAATAATGTTAACTAAAAGACTCAGAAAATACATGTTTTTAAGTATTTCAAAGACTCTGGGGAAAAAAAAATCTCTTCTTTAAATATGTGAAGTTATTATTTCATTATTGTAAATCAGATTTCACTTTATGTCATAAAATATTTGTTATTTTATAGCAGGCAAAACACTTCCACCTATAAAATTCTCATCTGATTCTCCTACGAGGTTAAGAGAAAAGTCAAGAGGACTAATTTAAAGACGAGGCGACTGAGATCCCAAGGGGAAGTAGAACACACCAACACTCGTCAGTCATTCACTCACAAAGACTGGGTCCTGCTTTTCAGGGTCTCAGTCTGGTCCTGGAGACAGAGTATTCTAACATCTAATCCACTACTCTTCCTAATATTACAAGTAATATAGTTGGGATTGATGCTGTAATCTATTTTTCACAGGCTCCAAAATAACAGATTATCTTCAGATAATCTCTAAAAACAAAAACAAAAAAACTGTCTGACCAGTATCCCTCCCTTTTTAAAACTTCAGAGAGTTCAAAGAGTCCTCTGCTTGAATGTTTTAGATAGGTTTTCCTGCAAACACTGGTTTCAGGACTTTCTGTGGCCCAGTTTCAACACATTTGATTAGCACTTTCAAGATTAGGTGCAACTCTCCACTTCAATCTATAAATCCAAACATTCTTTTCTCTCCCACATAACAAAGTATTTGAATATGCAAATTATACTGCATGACACAGCAAGGATAACAAGAAATCTTTTTTTTTCCCCCAAAGTCAATCATTCCAGAACTCTGGTACAGTATCAGGAGAAACAAATTACTTGGAACTCATAGCTGATTTTGACATATCTGAAACACAAAACTAAAGAAGTATGGAGTCTGATATGTATAAAAATAACACATTTTGCAATTTTCATAACAAATCAATAATCAGAATGAAAGGATTCAACTTGGGGTGGGATAGCAGAGACTTGTTTTCAGAGGACTATTTTTAAAAGCTGTGGTAAAGTATACATAATATTTACCATTTTAACCAGTGTTAAGTGTATAATTTAGTGGCATTAAGTACATTCACATTATCCGTCAATCACTGCAATCATCCATGGCTAGAACTCTTTCCATCTTCCCTAACTGAAATTCTGTAACCATTAAACAGGAACTCCTCATTTCTTGCTCCTCTCAGCCCTGGGAACCACCTTCTACTCTGTCTCAATGAATTTGACTACTCTTGGCACCTCATATAAATGGAATCATTCACTATTTGTCCTACTGTGTCTAGCTTATTTCATTGAGCATAACATCACCAAGGTTTATCTAAGGTGCAGCATGTGTCAGAATTACAGACCTTTTTAAGGATGTATAATATTTCATTGTACGTTTACACCACATTTTGTATGTTCATCCATCTGTTTGTGGACATTTGGATTGTTCATACCTATTGGTTATTGTTAATCATGATGATTTTTATACACTGGTATAAAAATGCCTGTTTGAGTCCCAATCTTTGATTCTTTTGGGTATATAGCCAGAAGCAGAGTTGATGGATAAATGGTAACTCAATGTAATTCTAATTTTTTGAGGGTATATCCTATTATTTCTCATCTTTTTTGACTATGATAAAATTTCTATGTTGCGTAGAAACAGGAAAATGGACATATTTTTCCTTGATGTTAAAGGGAATGTTTCTAATATTCCCCCCATTTGTGATGCTATTTTTTGGTGCATTCCCTGCATTTGAGGGCACCAGGATTTTCCACCATACTACCCTTTCACTGTTCAATATTTCTTTCCTTTTACTTGGGTTAGATTCCTCATCTATCACAACTTTTATATTTACCTACTTTATCTCTTGTACTATCCTTGACCTCTCTGTGGTACAAACAAGCCTAAAAAAAAATCCAACTGGTTAAATACAATTAGTTCTCAGCACTTCTGGTAATGCTGAACACTAAGTTTCATTTTAAGTTCATGACCAAAAATCTCAAGTGGACCTTCCTAAGACCTACATGCTTCCCTAATTAATTCACTCTAACAGTCCTCTTGATGACTTTCACCCTTTCCTCTTTCTTCAAACCTCCAATACCTCTCCCACTGTCAATTAATGACCTTGCTTCTTATGTCTTATGAAAGAGAATTCCGCAGAAGAATTCTACAGAATCCCACCACCAAACCTACCAACATACCTGTGTCTGTAACCAATCGCATCCCCTCTCTCTTGTTAAAATGGAGAAACTGTTCCTGCCCCACTGGAGTACTGGACCTTATCTCCTCTGGGCTAATCTAGGGTATCACAGGCTTGACTTCTTATTCTCTTAGCATTTCCTCATTTTATTAGATCACTGTACTACCACTCAAGCATACTGTCATGGATCTCATCTTTAAAATCAAAGCAAAACACCACAAATCTTTAATCTCATTTTTCTTCTAGTTATTGCTGGCCCTCACCACAGTACTTCACAACAAAATTTCTCAAAGGCATTCTCTATTCTTATTGTCCCATTTTTTCCTCCACTCTTCTCTCAAATCCAATCATTCCAACATCTTTGACAAGGTCATCAATCTTTTTCAATAGCCAGGTCCAACTGCAATTAGGTCCAATCACTTATCAGAAATTCTTACCACATATCACAGAAAAGCATGAGGGAAGTATTTTACATCTCATTTACTCTGTTTTATTTTTCTACAGCGCATTCATCATTATTTATGATATATCATTTATATATTTACAGCTTATCTTTTCCCAGTAGAATGTTAGCTCTATAAGAACAGGACTTTGTCTATATCATCCACATGCACGTCAAACAATTAGTACCTGGCAAAAGTGTGGAATATTTTCAAGTTTAATATGAACACCAAAAATTTTATTCAGATTAATAATGGAGCTATTACTAAATTTAAACAAAACTGTTTTTGATGCAAGACATGAGAGAGAGACAATGAAAATTAACTTCAAGGAAACAAAAATGAACTTGAGGGAAATGTATCTCATTTCTAAACCACAATATTAACCAGAGTACAATTTCTTTTCCTTAAAACTTCAAAGACGGAATTCATGATTGTATATTTATAATCACTTCCATTCCCTCATTAAATGAAAATTTTAATAAAACAGAATTAGGTCATTGTTATTAAAAATAATTTTTAGAGTAGGGAAACTGTTCACTCAGGTGTTTCTAAAATACAAATGAAATATAAAGAAGATCATAAGCTCTTCCATACTAATGTTTTTCTAGTATGAGAAACATCTGTCTCTTCAGATACTATGAAAAGTGAGACCACCAGGCCAATTAAAAACAAAGTTAAATTTTAGTAAGTAAAAAAGTGTTTTAAAGTTAGTCAAGTCTTTATTCCAGGACAGTAAGAACACACTAACCCTCTGCACAAAATGTAGTAAACAAAATCACTCCTCTTTAACATTAAAGAATAGTATTAATATGAACAGATTAAACTGAATCTAAAGTTTCAGTTCTATAAAATCTAAATGAAAAATATCCAGCAAGCTTGAGGCCAGCATCACATTGATCAACTATAAAAATACACAAATTTGCAAAAGTAAAAACTCACACTCTGACCCTGTTAAACAGAACCAAGTATGACTAGCATAATATCACAACGTGCACAGAAACATTGCCTACTTCCATGTTAGCTGTCAGATTTTCCTTTATTCCTAAGGAAAAAACCCAAGAGTTTATTGAGTAAAAGATATTGAAATGGAAATCTCAATTACTAAATTTTGGGGGCAACTTACAACTTATATCTTCCTCAAATTTTCCAAAAGCATAATTTTTACATGATTAATGCACTTTATTTTCACATTTACAGTTTCCCATCAGTAAACTTGAAATGCTATGTTGTCAAAGATGTTTAAAGAAGTTCTACAAAAATGATTTCCTAAAGAGCAGAAACAAAGCACCAAGTTGGTTTTTAGCTCAAAATACCTAACAAGCCTCATGAAATACTTATTTAAGGGGAGAGAAAAAAATGTAGGTTTCAAAGAACAGAGTACAAAGTAACTAAAAAATCCTTATCTATTATCATAATATTAACCTTATTAAGAACTACAAAAGGAACTAAACATCTTCACTTCCAACAGGGAGTCTAACCTATCATTAACTAAAGAAAATTACTCACCGCCCATGTTTTAGTCAATCTGAAAATTGGGGCACTCTGTAAGCCAGAAACCACTGCCATAAGTGCATGAAGATTATTCAGCTCATACAACTTCTGGAAGATTTAAGAAAAAGGGGGAGGAGAGAAAGAAAAATAAATAGCATAAATACAAGACAACTTGAACACAAATACAGTTTAAGCAACTGGTGGTTCTTATAGCATACTTATTACCTTCATTGTTGAGATTTGTTTTGGGGGTATCCACTGTGTTTACAGTAAGTTGATTTTTGGCCCACAAAGAACTCCCTCCTAGCTCTGGGAACACATCTACCTCCAGTTGCCTTATACATTAAGAAAACCAAAGTTATGGCTCAGCATCAAAGCTTTCTGGTATGCATCCTTGTTTCTAGTAGGCAATTTCCTTTCTTATATTGAACTCTTACTAGTTCTGCCTTATAATCCAAGTTCAAAGAAAAGGTCCATGCCCAGGATCCTGATTTGTGTCCTACTCAGGACCCTTAATGGGAGAAAGAAATGGCAACCCACTCCAGTATTCTTGCCTGGAGAATCCTGTGGGCAGAGAAGCCTGAAGGGCTGCTGTCCACAGGGTCGCACAGAGTCTGACATGACTGAAGTGACTTAGCAGCAGCAGCAGGACCCCTAACACTCCAGGGCTAGGGTTCAAGCTTGCTTTTCACAGCCCTCCTCAATTTCTGGCTTCCTCCCACCTGAATCCACATTCCTTTGTTCCTTGTTCATGCTGGAACATCTACCTGCTTCCCAATACTAGACATTGCTTTTTATAGCCTCCAAGCAGAAGAACCCCATATGATGCTGTGCGTACATGCTAAAGATTGATAGATTCTGTCAGTTTACCAAGAGGTCATCTACTTTTGTCAAATTATTGCTAATTGCCCAGATTTCTTCAAACTATCAGATGTTTATACCTCAACGGTCTTATCATGTAAAACTGTCCTTAATCATCAAGAAACTCCAAGACAAAAATTGCCTGTTATGAATATGAGAACCAAGGAAAGGCGAGGGGTTCTATTCCTTTGACGAACCCTAACTAATACCACCTTAACTCAGGTCTGAAAGAACTCCCATAATATTTCAAGAAATATGAACTCAAGTTTAAAAAAATAAAAAAGGGAAAGGGAAAAACACAAGGACTCTTTCTGCCATCTTTCCATGCCACCATAATGGGGCGTGTGAATGTCTTGGCTGATGCTCTCAAGAGTATCAATAATGCTGAAAAGAGAGGCAAAAGCCAGGCGCTTATTAGGCAGTGCTCCAAAGTCATCATCAGGTTTCTAACTGTGATGATGAAGCATGGTTACATTAGTGCATTTGAAATCACTGATGATCACAGGGCTGGGAAAATTGTTGTGAAACTCACAGGCAGGCCCAGTAAGTGTGGAGGGATCAGCCCCAGATCTGATGTGTGACTCAAGATCTATTACTAGAAAAATGGCAGAACAACCTGCTCCCATCCCATCAGTTTGGTTTTATTGTACTGACAACCTCAGCTGTCATCATGGAGTAGGAAGAAGCAAGACAAAAACACACAGGAGAGAAAATCCTTGGATTCTTTTTCTAGGGATGTAGATTCATAAAAACTAGGGATGCAAATTCATACAAAGGAAATGCCTCAGAGGGAAAATAAGAAAAAGAAAAGGAAACAAGAATTCACAAATGGAGAACAACATCAGATACTGGCTTCCAATGAAATGAAAAGGAAGGCGTTACCCAAAAAGCAACACAAAAGCTAAGGAATCTTTTCAAAAATGTGAAATAAAGGTTAAAAAGACATGAAAGGTAGAGGGGAAAAGGCTAATATTTATCTAAATGGAGCTACAGAAGGACATGATAAAAAAATAATGGGGTAGAAACAATATGAGGTGAAAGTGAAGTTGGTCAGTCGTGTCCAACTCTTTGCGACTCCATGGATTATACAGTTCATGGAATTCTCCAGGCCAGAATACTGGAGTGGGTAGCCTTTCCCTTCTCCATGGGATTTTCCCAACCTAGGGTTCAAACCCAGGTCCCCCACATTGCAGGCAGATTCTTTACCAGCAGGGCCACAAGGGAAGCCCAAGAATGCTGGAGTGGGTAGACTACGAGAGGTAATGGTGGATTATTTTCCCAAATTACTGAAAGACACTAATTCCCAGGGTGAGGAAGCTCAAGAAATCCCAAGCAGTGTAAATAAAAAAAATGAACCATGAATTTGGAATCACATTTTTCAAGAAAAAGGGTGACAGAAAGATGCTTCCAGACAAAATAAAGAGAGCTTTAAAAAAGATTTAAAAATGGTGCCAAAATGATTATTCATATTGAAAAATATGAACTGGAATCCATAATTGCATGTATTATATCTAAAATTTAAGAATTGACTACCAAAATCAAAGCTATAGAAGTTTTAAAGAGTAATGTGTGAGAAAATCTTTGACATTTTCAGAGTTTAGAGTAAGATTTAAATGAGATATTCTTTTAAGCACAAGACAATAAAAGTTAAAAATTAATATATTTGACTATTAAAATTAAGAGCATCTGTATCAAAAGACAATAGGAAAAGAGTTGTAAGACAGGTCACAAATAGGAAGATGTATGCAAAGAATATAGCAAAAAACTTTAGCATCTGGGATTATATTTTTTAAACTATAAAAATCGAAGACCAACACTATATGAGAATACTGTTCAAAGAAAGATCTTGAGCAGACATTTCAGGAGAGAAAAACGTAAATGGCCAAAACACAAAAAATGTTCATTCTCATCAGATTCGATGAAAGCTATTGGTCTCATTGTCATTTCTTTGAAGCTAATTTGTCCTTTCTCTCTATAGTTCCAGTGTTTTAACCTGCAGTTGAGCACCAAGAGATTCACACAAGAATGCTGTATAAGCAGTGGTACTGATAACAGCAAAAATCTAGAAACTCCTTCCTAACTCTCTAGGCTGTCTGCTGGCCCTACAGACTTCAAATCTGCCAGCCTCTCCCCAACTCAATCACATGAGATAAATTTCTTAAATCTTTTTATACATTATATACATATATGTGTGTGTGTGTGTTTTGAGAACCTAACTGAAACATCTACTAAAAGAAGATAAAGACTTGCCTGTTTTATAAGAAACAATATAGAAGGCAGATTCCCTAGAGGGATTGAAGAGACAGTCATGGACAAAAAAATTATGAATTTAGGCCCTGGGGTAAAAGTAAGCATTATCAGAAATAACTCAAAGTATGAGTCTGAACTGGAATTAAATGATTATTTGATAAGAATAATGACAGGTCTAATGGATTTGGTGGTTTTGAGTGGAACATACATAAAAAAAAGAAAAAAACTAACAAAAACACCAGAAAACAATAATGAAAATTCAGGATCTATGGAGAAAAGACATGGATTCTACTAGCTAAAATCCAATCTTTATCTAACATATCACAAAGAATGTTTTTAAAAATTTTATGACACTTCTGAAAAAATAACAAATTTTAAGAAGGCTAACTCTGCCACCTAGTGCCATACAGTGTTAGAATACAGTTGCTTCCAGGTGCTCAAGGAAACTATGGAAGAGTTATGACTTACAATATTTACAATGAGTACAATAATTTACAATTGTAAAAATGGTATCCTCAATTTATTCCATCTTCCTTCATTCACAAGTGAGATAAGTTATGTATTTATTATTAGAATAATGAAGGATGTGGCTACCATTACACCTATTTTAAGTAAACATGACATAAATTTGGAGTTGTTACAATTTTAGTAAAATCTTGTATCCTCTTGTGGAATGTCCTATTCCATCTTCCTCTCTAAATTAACTGTCTTTGAAATCCATGTTCTATTTCTCCTACTGCATCTATTATCTATGCTACTCAATGTATTTGGTTAACACCCTCATTTATACCATTCTTTTAAAAATAGTCTTATTCTCCACATGGTTGGCAGAATAATCTATTTCAAAGGCAAATAACTGATATGTATTTCCCTACTTAATCCTGTAAGGTTTTTTTAGTCACCTGAAGACTATACCAAACTATTTTATAAATATTAAACTTCATCATAATCTGACCTCTGCCCAAATACAATTCAGCTTCTCTGAGAAAGAGAGGAAAAGTATAAAAGAAAAGGGGAGGAAGATAGGAGGAACAGAAGAATAGGCAAAGGAAACAGACATGCAATTTAAAAAATTAACTTACGCTAATCAGTAGGCCTTGTTTTCCAGCATCAATAAATAGTGACTATAGTGACCCAGGCAAATATTTACTCACAAGCATTCATAAATGACTGAATTCAAAAACAGAAGCACAAGTTTATCTTACCTTAGCAGTCTTAATATAGTGGCTCAAAACTTCTGCTCTAATTTTTAATGTTTGAGCATGAAGAATCTCTCTAACAACCCAAAAGCTTACCTGCAAATGAAAAACAGGTGAATGGTAAGATTCTTTACTTACAGGATGAAAGAATGACAAGAGCTACTTGGTGAACTACTGAGAGTTGTATAAAAATGCTTTCTCTTGCCCCTGACTCACCACCAGGATGTAACTCTTCAAATGTTGCACATACTTCATACACATATATAGACAGACAGAAATAGACATGTGTATTTGTTTGTGTGTCAGTCTTTGTCACTAAGTCATGTCCAACTCTCTGTAGCCCACCAGGCTCCTCTGTCCACAGGATTTCCCCGTCAAGACTACTGGCGTGGGCTGCCACTTCCTTCTCCAGGGAATCTTGCCAACCTAGGGATTGAACCCACGTCTCCTGCACTGGCAGGCAGATTCTTCACCGCTGAGCCATCAGGGAAACATATATATACATTTGTACAGACACATAAAAACATCATAATGATTTTTCATCTATAAAAGCAAATGTAAAATTTGAAGGAAAAGAGAAAGCAATAAAACCAGAATGATGCAACAAGAACACTATACAAGTGTTTTTTTGCTGTACTTTAAAACACTCTGGCAGAATTAGATAAGCTCTAAGATCAGACACTGTAAAACATGCTACTTATAGTATGTTTTTCTGTGTCTGTGTAATCACATGCTGCCATTTATTTACATGGAGTAGAATCCTAAATGTAAAGAATCTCAAGTATGGTTTTCCTGTTATGAATTGGATAAAATATAAAACTACTTAAAGAAAAATATATCTAAGTCATTCTAAAATCAAGATTGTATTTTTTTTTTTTTTGCTTTCTAATTCAATAAAACCATCTTCAAGATTTCTTTTAAAAAACAATAAACATCATTCATCAGAAGGCAGGATGGGTCTGTAACATTACTAAAATGCTCTGGTGAAAATAGTATGCTTATCATATGACACAGAGTAATATGTATGTAATATATATATATTTTTGTAATATACATTTTTTATATAACATATTTCAATTCATGCACTATGAAAGCAAAATCAAAGTACTATCAGTTCGTTCAAAATTCTACAAATCTGAAAGTAGGATGCAGTTAGAAATCTCAGTGCAAAAATAAAGCCACTGCCACCTTTTCTTCTGAGAAATATTTCATAATTTATTTGCAACTTTCATCTATAAACAAACTGTCAAAATTTGTATATTTTAAAATGTATATGTAAATGTAAACTGAATATAGTTTACAAAGACATCTTTATATTTGTTACTATATTTGAGCTACTAATGACAATAATTATCCCTGATTCTAATAAATTTTACTTCTAAAATGTATCTAAAGTTAAGGTTATTTTAACAACAACCTTGTGCTGTCCTGTGCTTAGTCGCTCAGTCGTTTCCAACTCTTTGCAACCCCGTGGACTGCAGCCTGCCAGCCTCCTCTGTCCATGAGGATTCTCCAGGCAAGTATACTGGAGTGGGTTGCCATGCCCTCCTCCAGGGGATCTTCCCAACTTAGGGATCGAACCCAGGGCTGCCTGGGCACTGCAGGTGGGTTCTTCACCGACTGAGCCACCAGGGAAGCCCAACAACAACCTTGTTAGAAAATATTAATTATGATTCAATCTAAACTCCATGATCACTGACTTAATAGATTTAATGCCAAATTTTAAGACAAAAACTATGGTAATTTAAAAACATGGCCACAAACTCTTTGTCACTCCTCACACTGAACGTAGCTCATGACTACTTCAAGGAATAGAAAATTAACAAAACTGAGATTGACTTCCATGACAAGGTCATAAAAGAACATGCAGCCCTGCCTTGATTGTTGGAACATTCTCTATGGGATTCCTAAACTACCACGTAAGAAGTCCAGCTACCCTGAGGCCACCATGACAGAAAGGCTAGGTACAGGTGCTTCCCAACTGACAGTCCCATCTAAAGCCAATCAAACCTGATAATACTGCCCCAGAATGATCAACAGCAAGATACACTTTAATGAAATTATTGGACTTCAAAGAGAAAAATCTTTAGGCTAAGAAAAGAGAAAGTGACTTTTAAGGAAAAGAGAATTTAGTTATCATCAGACTTTTCAATAGCAACACTTTGCCAGAAAAAAATGGAATACTACATCAAATATTATCAAGGAAAGAAAATTTCATACAACAGACAGGCAAACTTATCAACATGTAAGAACTCAAGAATTATTGTTCCAATGAGCCCTGCCTGAGTAAATGCTTGGAGAACAGGCTTCAGAAAATCAAATGACTAGAGAGAAACACCAACATTAGAAAGACAGTGAACATTAAATACACACATTCACAGAAATGAGAATGATAAGGGTTAAAAGGAGGAGAGTACATTATATAATGCCCATATGCCCAGACACTATATACTATTTACTATAAAAGAAATACAACATTTGCAAAAATATGTACTTAACTGTTTAAAGGAGTATTATTGGCATTAGTATTGCTATTCTGAGACTGTTATTTGTTGACGTAGGTTAAGGCAAATGAGTAACTTGTAGGATACTGTATCATGCCCCGTTTTCATGGAAAACCTGGTTGCAGGTGTGGAAGAAAGGATATACAGATATAATATGGAAGACATTAAGTAAAACTCTGATCTTGAATTTGAAGTATTAGTATGAATTTACGAGATATTTTATCTTCAAATAGTGGTACATATATATATGTGTGTGTATGACATATAGATATCCTAGCTATATCTGCTGAAAAGGCCTAGAAATTATGGTCACTCTATTAGCAATGAGCATTTTTAGCACCTAGGTTCATTTCCTACTACAAGAAACCAATATTTGTTAAAGAAATGATGATTCCAGGCAGAGAGCTGGTAATGGACAAAATGAACATGCAATGTCTTTGCAAACAAAAGCAAAGAAACTGTTCAAGATTACAAGGGTCATGAGAAAGGTCATGAAAGCAAACCTGGACTCCTGTTGGCCAAAGACGGGATAGTATGAGTTTCAATAATGATAATAATGGCAATGGAAATACTGATTCACATCATTTATGTTTACATTTATGAGTTTAAAATAAAATTAAAAAGTTAAAAACTACTGTCATAGTTAAAGGATGACAGAACACCAATTCATTATCTTCAAAACTGCTAAATAATGAGAAAAAAATCAAATATTTATCCGTCCTTACCTGTATGAAATGAATCTCTAGGTATGCAAATACTAGATGAGGGAAAAATGTCTCTTTATAAAATTATCCCCACTAAAAGTATTTCTGTATATCTAATATCTAATGTATCTATTAATATCACAAAAAAGATCTGATGAAGAAACCCCATACAACCCAGACTCTTGCCAAAGGCACTGAACCCGACTGAACCTTTGGAATTAGCTGCTAATTTCCAGAGAACATAGAACATATTAAACTACACAAAATGCAATCTAGACTATGGGAGACTCTAGAGGTTCTTCCACACAAAACAGTAAGGAAGAGAAAAGGATAAAGGGAGAAACTGCAAATTAAAAAGTCTCAAACATTTAACAAATTAAAAAAACTGGTCAGGCTAAGTTAGGGATCCATATTTATGTGATAAAAACTATAAAAATAAATACATGACAGTGAGTGCTATAAAAGTCAGGGCAGTACTTATTGTTGGAGGAAGAAAGTGTGTGAACTGGGATGAAGGGACATGGAGGGGTCTCTAGTGTAGTTCCTCAACTTTCATTAAACCATATGTTTGTTTTGTGGGTTCTTTTTGTATCCATGCTTTATTTTACAATAAACAGTTTAAAGTAAAAAATAAGAGAATAATACACATGACCAGATAAATCTGAAAATGATAGAACATCTGAAAATGAAAAAAAAAAAGTGAAATTAAAATTAGAAAGAACTGAACGAAAAAGTCCATGAAGAGAATGATCTCTGTTTTCCTTATTCACTAATATATCCCCAACATCAAGACCAATATTCAGGACATAGTAGGACCTTAGTAAATATTTAAATGAATGAAAGTAAAAGTTGAGTCATTTTATATCAATTAGATTTCAAAGTTTAATAACACAAAGTGCTGATAAGGATACACAGTGATGAAAGTGCAAAGCAAACTGGTACAATCATTTTAAAAAATATACACTGTCTTATGTAGTTAAACATGGATATACTCTCTCTGATACAAATTTTGTGTTTAGGAACACATGTTTCAAACAAATCACAGTGTTTTCCCCTTATTTTATGGGAATCAACTTAGTAAGTTTAAGCAGCAATTTTTTTTTTAAGCAAAGACCAAAGTACATATTGCCTAATACAGGTAAGTATTATTTCAGAAAACTTTAGTTTGCATATTCAGTTACAATGTAAAAATATTTTAACTTATTGTGGGTCATACCAAAAAATGTTTGAAAGCCACCAACTAGAGAAACTACTGCACGTGGGCACCCAACCTCTTAGAATATTCATAGCAACATTCTTCACAACAGCAAAAAATTAGGAGACACATTAGTCCACCCCCAAAATTAGTCTACCCTCAAAAGAATGATGAATCCTTTCTGATACATTCATGCAATGAAGTGCTAGAAGACAGCACTGAAAATCAATGAATAAGCACTATATACATTATCATGGATACAGCACAGAAATACAAGTGAAAAAAGCCAACCACAGAAGTCTATATATAGTCTGATGATACGTTTTACAAAGACGAAAAGCAAGATATACAATATGTTGTTTAGGGGCACAACTTTTTCTGGTAAATCTACTTGTATAGGAATTATAAAAAGAGCTAAAATTTTTAAAATCAAATTAAGAAAAAACAAAAGAGAAAAAATATTTTTCAGATAATAGTTACCCTTTAAGTGAGGACAGAGCAGAGACCATATAAAATGCTTCAACAGTTTTGGTAATATTCTTAGTTTAAGTGGTGAATTCACAGTTGTTTTATTATAATACTTCCTAATATAGATTAGATTAACCATATGAACCTGCCAGTTCTATAGGCCAGAAATGGCAGTTTCATAAGATTCAAACAAACATTTAATGTATTTTAGGAATGAATCAAGTATTTCATTAAAAAGCAAATCTTACTTTTATTCAGAGGTTATTTCTAACTGTAGCTGCTTTATTCAAGCTTTTATAATCATATAAAAGTGCTATGAAAACCTTTTATTTACAGCCAAACATATGTTAAGCTTTAAAGATAATTTCCTAACTTTTTATCATGGAATCTTCAAACGTATACTGAACTAAACATGATAATAATGAAGTCGCCAGTACAAATCAACCAGCTTCAACAACCAAGTCATGGCCAAGTTTTCTCAATTGTACTCTCATCCCACTCTTAAGTGCTCCATTAATACGGTGAAGCAAATCACAGACAACATACGATAGCATCTATCAACACTTTCAAAAAGGAGTATTTCTACAAACAAAACCTAAAATGATTATCATTCCTAAAAACATTACTTTCTAGTTAGTCAAATTTCCAATCATCTAGGTAACATTTAAAAAAAACGTAGGCAACCTTTCCCCCAATTAAAAAAAAAATCAGAAAGTCACTGGCCAGAAGGCACAAATACAAGTGACCAAAGAAATAGCCAAAATAGAATGAATATTAAAATTGTGATAGAGTCAAGTCACAGGAGACTATACAAATAATTTAAATGTTTTCAAAGTGATTTTATCAATATGATACAGTAACATTTCATGATATGTTAAGACAACAGGACTGTAAATTATATGTACAACATGACTTCTATTAGATCAAGAAAAAATTAAGAATGGAAGAATACATACTAAAATATTAGTAATAGTCATCTCTGGGTGATTTTGCACCTACCCCCCAGCTTTTTATACATTTCTACATTTTTTTTAGTTTTCTGGCAATGTATGCTACTGTTTTGATAATCAATTTAAAAAGCATAGTTTCAAGAAGATGTGGGAGAGTTCTATTTCTGGTAATGTTGAGAAGCAGGTATCTCTGGAAATGCTCCTCTGATTATAATTACAAATTATAAAAACAATATTTAAAAGCACAAGAGAGGAACCAAAAGCAGGCATAAACTGGAGAACAGATCTTTGAAAGAAGTAAGATGCAGTGGATGAGATTTGCACTCATAAAATTAAGTGTCTGAGGATGTTCAAAGTTACAATGTGGTGCACCAAGAATTTTAGCAGAAGGCCACAGTATTGATGGCCTAATTGTCAGATAAATCGGCTAGACAATAAGGGGGGATATTCTGGAAAGGTAAGAAAAGTCCCCTAAATCTATATAAAAACTCCATCCAAATCTCCAGGTGACCTTGGAACTGTGCATGTGCAGGGGAAACTTTAAGGAGTCCAGATAAAGACAAAATCTGGAAAGAACCAAGCTCTTCTCCAACAACAAAGAGAATTGAGAGTCTGAGCCCAGCCAAGTTAACTCAGTCGGTCGCTCAGTCGTGTTCAGCTCTCTGCGACCCCGTGGACTGCAGCAGGCCAGGCCTCCTGGTCCATCACCAACTCCTGGGGTTTCAATGCTTTTTCTCTTAATACCCAGTCAACCTTTTCTTTTTCTTTCTGTGTCTGGTAATTTTTTCAATTGTATAGTCATCATTATGGATAATACGTTTTAGAGATTGTGGATTTTGTTGTCTTCTTTCAAACAGTAATGATTTTACTTTAGCAACTACCTGCTAAAATTGTGTCAGATGGGACAAAAAAAAGGAGGACTCAACTATATGCTATCTACAAGAAACTCATTTTAAAAATAAAAGTCTCTTTGTAACTTCTTTTGTAATTTCCTACTTCAGATTTCCCATCACACTGCTAAGAGAAAATAATAAGAGTAATGGAAATAACTAAGTAATAAATTTTATTATAGATCAACTGTAATCTTGATTAGTGTAAGAGCTTTTGGTACACTGTGACATACTCTGAACAATCTTTTGACTTACTTAAGAATAATATTAGTGCTTAAAAATCTAAAGTCAAATTTGTGGGTATTGTGACAATGTTTTTGTTGGCAAAGAAAAAAGTTTACCATGATGATAAATCCTGATCACTCCAGAAAAAATTTAAAACAACTGCCATATAGTTTAAATAATAATTCAGTATAAGACATATTTGCTGTAGGTTCCTTACTAATGGTTTAATCTAACTGAAAAAAAAAAATACGAACTCACTTCCATTTTGGGTAATGCAGTGACCCAAATAACTTGAGATATACTATTTGCTATAAACCCCTAGAAATGCTGGGTTAAAGAGAAGCATTTTTTAAAAAGTAGGCTTCCCTGGTAGCTCAGCTGGTAAAAATCTGCCTGCAATGCAAGAGACCCCAATTTGATTCTTGGGTTGGAAAGATCCCCTGGAGAAGGGATAGGCTACCCACTCCAGTATTTTTGGGCTTCCCTGTGGCTCAGATGGCAAAGAATCTAGCTGTAATGCAGGAGACCTAGGTTCGATCCCTGGGTTGGGAAGATCCCCTGGAGGAGGGCATGGGAACCCACTCTAGTATTCCTGCCTGGAGAATCTCCATGGACAGAGGAGCCTGGTGGGCTATAGTTCATGGGGTTTCAAAGAGTCAGACACAACTGAGTGACGAAGCATTGCACATGACTAACTTGAAAAGAGTTCACTTGAGGCCAAAAATAAAGGAAATAAAGGCAAAAAAGGAAAGGGTACGACAGCTGCCATTGGCAGATTTCCTCTCAAGAGCATAGGGATCTGGGATTTAATACACCTTCTAAGTAATAACATAAAGCTTCACACCTCTGCCCTCCCCCATCAGTTCCTATCTAAGAGATCTTCAAAGAGCTACAGTTTTGGTGAAAATGTAGACTAAAACAATTCACCCACTGACAGAAGGAGACAATACAGAAGAGGGAGAGGATTAAGTCTTCCTTAAGAATTTGTAACTTGCCCTTAATTGGATTTAGAGCTTAAACTTTCACTACAGAGTAGTACAGATGTCCCCTAACCAAAACACAGAACATAAAAAATTGTCCTAGTTCTGAAAAAAAAAAAAAAAATAGTCCTAGTTCTGTAAAAGCCCTTGGTAACAGTGAAAGCAAAAAAAATGAATGCCTCTAAGAATGTATATACCCTCAATCTAGGCAGCAGCAAAATTCCCACAGCTAAAGCTTAAATGAACATAAGCTCTCAATTCAAAACTACAAAATGCATAAGAAGCTATTGTGAGTATGAATCAGCATATACAGAGCATTAGTACTTCAAGGACTTTGGATAATAACAGAGAAATTACAAAATAAAAAGTTGAAGATGACTTAAGAAATTGGAAAAAAAAGTGGGGGGAGGAAATGACACTAGTATAAAAAAAAGTGCATAGATTTGAAGCAGATTTGACACATTGGAAGAGAATTATTTTAGTGAACTGAAATATAGATCTGAGTAAATAACACAGAATGGAGCACAAAGGGACAGATGTAAAATATGACAGGTTAAGACACAAGTAGGAAAGAACATAAAGTTCCAGTAAATTTCCAGTAGGAATTACAGAAGGAAAAAAAAAAAGAAAAAGATTATATGGAAAGACACTGATGAGATATTGGTTGAAACTGATGTAAAAACTTAAATTACTTCTTAATGAAAAATTACACACTGAGGAATTGAATTTCGGAAATTAAACATCAAAATTTTATAAGCAACTCACATGATTAAATCTTCTTGTGAAGGCAACTGCATTTGGTGCAGAACTGTATTTTTCTTTTTTATTCCATCCACAACTTGAAAGCTCCTGAAAAATTAAATATAAATTCATGAAAAAGCCCAGTTTTATTGTTACATTAATGGTTTAAAAGCATTAAAGACAGTTGTGTACTTTCCCAGACTGGTTTATTTAATAGTATAACCACTCAGTTAAATCACAAAAAACAAATTTTATAAGAATACAAGTGGGCACAATTACTTATCCATATGAACACAGATAATTAGATCCATATTCCATATGCAAAATTATAGGTTCTTCTTTGAATAGATCTGAATCCCAAAAGGAAAATCTACAAATAATGAAAGATGAGCATCCCAGAACATAAAGTGAAGCCTACTTGTTGCCAAGTCCCAGTCAATCATTCAGAGCTTCCAATCAACTTTTTAGTAACCTCAAACTTTTGAGCTGAAAGCCAACGACCCCAAGCATTTGAAGAAACCCCTAAAAGGGGATGTTTGATTCCCCACAGATCTATCAATAGAATTCAAAGAGCTCAAGAACTTAGATGTAAAAAAAAAATATTTTGTTTTACACTAACCTCCAACTGAAATGACATTGCTTTTAATTATACATGTAGGCTACCGACTGTAGAAGAATTGGCAATATATGTGACTTATCACTAATAAAACACAGATATTTTCATATCACATTACAGTTGGTACAGATATCTCAAAAACATCATTTACACTCATCACTGCTTTGAAGTTCTAATCTCAGCACCTCTAGATACTTAATATATTAACAAAGAGGCACATATATAGCCATAGGACAGTTTTAAAAAAATATTTTGATAGGTACGTTATTAGAACTGATTTTCTTGGATTTTAAATAAGGGTTCAACTCCAGAAGCTTCAGTTTTCCAAAGGGGTTCAAGGGTCAAAACAGGTTAGGGACGCTGCTATAATACAACCACCATGGTCAGAAAGAGACATAATCCATAGGAAAGAAGAATTTCAAGGACACTGAGTTAGGGTGGAAAAAAAAGAAAACTGAGAAAAGGACAATATCATGTAATTATTACTTCCGGATAGATATTGCTCCCTTTAAATAGAAAAAATAGAAGGGTACAAACAAAGATTCAGAGAACTAAATAAAACTTTTGGACATGAAAAATATAATAAAATAATTTTTATAAATCAAGAAAGATAAAGGTGACAATACCTTTTAAACAATAAGCTAAATATGGGGGCAAAAATATTATGTTAATTAGAAGAGTCCACTAGAGTCAACTTCTGAATAATAAAAATAATTTTAAGAGAATACAGAGAGAATAGAGGACAGTAACTTATTGAAAAAAATGCTAATTCAAGATAATGTCTCCTGAATCTAAAGGATGAGAAAAGACCTGTCTAATGTCCATTACAAAAGACTAAAAGAAAAAAAAAGACTCAAACCAAGGTCTAGCATCAAAACCTGTAGCACACTGGAGACAAAGAAATCATAAAATCTGTCAATTCAAAAACAAAAAACAAAAACAGATAACATACAGAAAAAAGGGATCAGAAGGTATCATGTATTTCAACAGCAACTCTAGAAGACAGAAGACAACTGAAACAAAGCCTTCAAAATCCTAGAATTCTATATTCAACAGAAGTATCAATTAAGTATGAAAGTACATCACAGACATTTTCAGAAAGTCTCGGACAATCTTCCTTTTAGGCACCTATTCTCACAGAGCGTGTAGAATATGTCTTCCATCAAAACAAACTAGCAAAGTCAGAAAAGGGGAGAGAAGAGCCAGGAAACCAAGGAACCAAGACCGAAAGAAAATACTGGAAATTCCCAGATTAAGAGTAAAGGGAGATTCTGAGACAAAGCTAAGAGCAGACCATAAGAATGATAGTCCGGATGGTAAATAGCAAGGACGGAAATTCCAAGAGAGACATCTCTGAAAGATGAAACACTATGTGGAGTGTTTGAACACAGAGAAAACACACTCACTACATTCATTACTGGCAGAAAAATTAGTGATAAGTCATAGAGAGAGCTAAAGGGATTCCAGGTAGCTCAGTGGCAAAGAACGCTCCTGCCAATGCAGGAGATGCAGGAGACGTGGGTTTGAACCCTGGGTTGGGAAGATCCCTTGGAGGAAATGGCAACCCACTCCAGTATTCTTGCCAGGAAAATCCCAAGGACAGAGGAGCCTGGCAGGCTACAATCATGGGATCGCAAAGAGCTGGATACTACTGAGCATGCACCCCAAAACAGAGAAAGTTAAAGTAAGTTATTTAGCTGAAAGAAAAAATTTAAGTAAGTAATCATGGATCAGCTTTCTCTACACCTATAAAGAACAGTTGGGCCATGATTACTTACTTATTCATGTCAAAATTGTGACATAACTATAAAGAAAAGAGGAGGAAATAAATTGTGCAAATATGAGAGGAAGAGAAAATAAGAGTGAAGTCATCTTCCATAGTAGAGAGTCAATAAATCATATCCAAAATTGAAAACTCATAAGCAATAGGCATTTAGATATGTTATCTTTAAAACATATATAAAGTCTTCCAAATAAGAAAAGTTAAGAGATGTGGATGGGTGTTGGGCTCAAAGGTGGAGGTTGGAAAGGTGGGAACAACAGGATATTGCTATATTTTGCTCTCTTGTGGAAATATTTAGCTTGTTAAGCATGATATATGCATATCTTCAATATAATTTTAAAATTAAATAAAAACAAAAAAGAATGAACTGAATTAGGAAAGACTGAGGAAGTTATGATGTTATTAACACTTTAAGAAAAAGGCAGTGTTCCCTGGAATAGGGTAGTATTAATGGAGACTGAAAATATCACTTGGTCAAAAACTGGATCCACATAGTGTAAGTTAAGAATGACATATTCAGGGTGAAACAGATCACCAGCCTAGGTTGGGTGCATGAGACAAGTGCTCGGGCCTGGTGCACTGGGAAGACCCAGAGGGATCGGGTGGAGAGGGAGGTGGGATCCAGTATTTTCTTCAGTGGGTAAGATAGCTAAATTAGAACAAGTCATCAATGTTATAGCCACAATCCTGCAGAAATTATGCAATTCAGTCTGTGTTCTTGCAGGTGTAAACTGACCAATTTATCCAGATTGGAAAAAAAAAAAAAAAAAGAATGACATATTCAGAAGTACTAAAACTCCTAAGTTTCTGGCTTGAGCAATTGAGATGGGGACTACTGAAAAAAGAGACAACAATTATCACTTTAACACAGCAGGTCAACAGTAAATGTTCTAAAGATATAAAGTACTTTTTTTAAACCTAGATTTTGCAAATTTCAAATTTGAAATTACTGCAGGAAAAGAAAATGACAGAAGCAACTCTACAGTCAAAAGGAATTTGAGTACTTTGTACTCAGCCTAGATATATGCTCATGTCACATTATCTTCCAGTATAGAAACAAAATATTTAGTGGTAGATATTACATTAACATAAACATGACACATGATAACTATATTGAAAACATCAAACTGCTAGAAAACATGTTTGGTCTTCCTAAATATCACAGTATATTTATACAACTATATAAAGATGTCAAGGTTTAGGACAAAATTTCTAGGATTAAATCCATCAACTCTGAATTTGTTTTTAACCAATTAACAAAATTTCCAAATTTTTATTAATGCTATAATCAAAGTGTCTCTATGAAATTGCTATTCAACTTATCTAGCTATTTGACAAGTCATTTTCCTGTCATAAGTAAGGCTATATTATAATTTTCTGCAATAAGTAAGGCTATATTATAAATAAAGAATATCCTTGCACCTTTTCTGACATTTCTGATCACTTCCTAAATATACAGTCCTAGAAGCAAAATCACTAGGTCAAAGAGTAGGAACCCTTTCTTTCAAGGTCTTGATACTTGTCAAACCGCACTTCTGAAATACTGGATCATTTATACTAGCACTACTGTCAGTACAAGCATCTTATCAAAACTAGGTGTACTTAATTTCCCCATCTATAAGAGTAATTACAGTTGTTAAGTAAGTTTGTGAAACAGAAAATCGGAGGGTGGAGAGGGGCTGCAGGGAGGGACCATAAACCACCCAGAAACCCACCACCTGAATAAACCTATGTAAACATCTTCCCTATCTCCTTTATGTGCATACAGAACTACTGACAGTAGCCATTACATCTGTCCTTTTCTGTGTGATCTAATCTTCTGACTCTGGGCTTAAAAAGTTCTTTCTTCCTTAGAACATAGGTCTTAACAGTTGCAATAAAAAGCTAACCCTAAGGTAGAAATCACTATGTGCCAGGCACTACTCTAAGTGCCTTATACATATCAACTCATTTGATCCTATCTTTATCATTACAATTTATTATGACAAGGAACACAAAGGTAGCAGTGGATTATAGCCTTATTTTTTACATTAAAAATTTTTAAATTCTTTTCTGACTCCTCAAAATAAGAGACGCTAAGAGGTTTTGAAAAATCCATTTTTGGTGAATTGCAACATCACTAACTTAATGAAAAAATGCTTTTCCTCTTTAAGAAAACTCTGTTAGAAGCAGACCTGAAAGAAGGCAAGGGTTGAATGAGACTCCAGTCAAATTACTTGGGAGCAAATGGGTTAAAATCCCATGGGCGTTCTCCATCTTATACATAAAAAACATGTAGAAATAAGGAGGTTCTTTAAATTTTAAGATAGTACTTTCTGCTTCAGAAAACATTTCCCCTTGTAAATAATGTTACATTACTAGCTCATCTAATACAACATCAAACAGACAAGGATAGAGAACAACATAGTGGCTGCCAGGAATTATGGACGGAGGGGAGTAGGGGTGAGAATAGGATGGGTGTGACTACAAAGGGGAAGTACAGGTGACAGAGCTTTGTGGTGATGGAATATTTGTGTATCTTGATGGAGGTAGCAGTTAGGCAAATCTACACAGATGATAAAACGCCACAGGACTATACAGACTTGTACTATATAAACATCTATTTCCTGGCTTCAAAACTGTGACTCTAAAGCTATCTTTGGGGACTTCCTGGTGGTCCAGCGGTTAAGACTCTGTTCCCAGTGCAGGGGGCCCCAGATTCCATCCCCA